CCCGGTGCTTGCCTTTCCCAGCGAGGTGTCTTCCTGTCCCGGAGCGGCGTGGCTCTCCAGCTCTGGACCCTTTCCGTCCCCCTGTTGGGTGCTTACCCACACGGTGTGCGATCATCCCGCCACCCTCTCCGTGCTCTCCACCGCTGCCTTGCCCCGGTGTCCAAACCGGGGCATTTGGGTTCAAACCCATCGGCAGCTGTCTCCAAGTTGGCTTATCACGACCTACCTCGATCTCGTGACCGCGGTAACTCCCGACCGCCAAACTCAGGATCCTCTCCTACACGGTGCTAGGGACCGTATATCCGTCGTTGTTGGGTGGTTTTTTCGAGGAATAACTGCACTTGCGGGCCTCGGCCTCCCCCGGGGAGGGGAGGAGGGGGGAGGCGGAGAGCTACACATTATTTGAACTTGTCGTCTTGATCGTCTACCTCCCGAAATCTTCGTCTACAATCTCGAAGGAATGCCCCCCGGTCCTGTTTTTGACCTTCAGGTTTGTCCCTTCATCCATTGTCCATGCAGGTACTACTGCTGGAGCCCTCTTTTCAACATTCCGTACACATCTAGACCCTCCTCATCCTTGGTTTGGTTAGATTCTGATCTTCTCTCGCGGCAAAAGCAACCGATAGCTTCTCCCTGAAGCCCTCCAGACCTTCCGTTTCCAGCGTATCACCTTCGTCAATTTCGAGCTCCTTCCATACGTATGTGCCGGGTTTTGAGACCACGGGCTCCCCATTTTTTGTGGACTAAAGAGCTAATGTGAGAAACAACAACAACAACATATCCCAGACGATAGGCACAAGACGCAAGTACAGCACACGCAATCCATCACGAGTAAGCCGAGTAAGAGCGGAAACAAACAAAAACGAGGACAAAAACCGGCTGGCGGAAGAGAGGCTCTCAACGCAAATTTGGCGGCCGTGCCTATGCAGTTCATGCTGAACTGCTCCACAACTATGTGCACGAACTCGCATTATCGCAAACGCGGGCAGAGTACATGCCGGAAGGGCTTACACAATCATGTGCTTCCTTTGAAGGGAGAAGTCAACAAGCGAAATACATTGAAAAGTCATATTTGTTATCCCCAAACAGTACACACCAAAGAGAGACAAACAAAATACAGGTGAACTGCACATAAATGTTTGGGCGCGTTCCAAGGCTGCTAGTACAAGCATGTCCGCCACTGTCTCCTGCACGTGATGGTGCACGAGACTCAGCGAGACATGAACCCCCCGCCTGATACGGACGATCTTGACAAGAATCTTCCGAATCGAGTAGAATACGGTCGTTGTGGACCCTCGAAACGCCCGCCCGTCCCTCGCCCGAACCATAGTTCCGAACCATAGTTTCCGAACCATAGTTTGCTGACAACCCCACAGTTGCAAACATATGTGGACGCCGATTCTACTCGGCCAGCCCACAGTACAACCCTGGACTGCACCTTCCAGTGACAAAATATTGTGGGAGAGCAACAGCGTCAACCAGTCCGTTTTCCCGCCAGTCCTCCTCCCGTGCGTACCAAAAACGGGCTACAAAGCGGTTGGTTTTCAAAGTACGAAGAGCCCGTCAATCAAAGTCGGACGAAATATCCGTGCATCCCAACACGCACAAAAAAAAAATCGGAGAATGAAACAGCACCAAAACAACGATCACGTCACGCTCTGCTGGGTGGGCCGCGACCGCGCGGCATTGAACGCCCGTTCGTGAACATTTTCGAGCCAAGAACCCCAGTCTCCAGAAGAAAAGAACTTCGTTCTTGCTTGTCGCAGGTGTTTCAATTTATTCCACCGTAGCGTCCGCCACGATGATGGTGGTGACATCGTCCGCAATCCCGCAGGCGTTCACGCCTCGTACCAGACGGTAGTAGCCTTGCTCTCCCCACAAGTACTTCCAAGAGTTCTTGATGATCCAGTACTTGACACCGTCTTCCTCCCCGTAGCCCACGATCAAGACGGCGTGGTCGATCTCGAGGGGTTCGCAGTACTGAAGGTGGAGGCCGTGACATGCAAAGACGTAGGGAGGGCGGAGGGCGGGGCGTACTCTTATGTTTTGCATGCCGTAGCGGTTAGACCATTGACCACGCGTCCTCGAGATGACGGAGCATTGTTCCTACAGGACCGATCACCGATGGCCAATCGTTCTTTTCTACTTTGCCGAAGGTGGCTCAAAAATGTCTTCCCTAGTCTGTCGATCCCAACGATATCTCTTCCCGCCTTTTCAACCCACCTCCTGTGCCCCACTACAGCTACCGTCCTTTCCTCTCTATTCCATGCTTCAAACATCTCCCTGTACGTACTATCTATTTTTCCCAGCTCAGTCACGTACACTTCCCTCTCCTTCTCGTACCACTGACATTCCGCGACTTCATGAACACGGTCTTCGCATTCGAAGCCGCAATCACATTTGAGCTCGTAGTCTTTGTCGTCTACCGTCCTATGTCTTCGACGTTCTCGAAGGCCTATGTCCCCGGTCCTGAATTTGACCTTAAGCTTTGTTCCTGCACCCATTGGTCCATGTAGGGAGTCCTTGAACCCTATTCTTTCCTTCAACATTCCGTACACTTCTAGACCCTCCATATCCTTTGATTCTTTCCTTAGATTATGTTCTCTCTCGGCACAAGCAACAGATATCTTNAGTCTTTGTCGTCTACCGTCCTATGTCTTCGACGTTCTCGAAGGCCTATGTCCCCGGTCCTGAATTTGACCTTAAGCTTTGTTCCTGCATCCATTGGTCCATGTAGGTAGTCCTTGAACCCTATTCCTTCCTTCAACATTCCGTACACTTCTAGACCCTCCTTATCCTTGGATTCTTTCCTCAGATTCTGTTCTTCTCTCTCGGCACAAGCAACAGATATCTTCTCCTTGAACCCCTGTAGACCCTCCGTTTCCAGCGTTTCATCTTCGTCGATGTCGAGCCCCTTCCATACGTCCTCTACAACCTTGACCCATTCCGTGGGTTGTCTACCCCTCTTTTTGTTTGCCCACTTCGCCTCCCATACAATCCTCGGCAACCTCTCCTCTCCCATCCCGCACATGCGATACTGCCAGGTCAGCTTCCTCGCGTCTCTTCCCGACCGTAGGGATTGGATCCCCAATTCTGCCCGGACGACTGCGTTACTTGTGCGCTCGGAGCATCATGATTTTCGCTGCTTTCATCTGCGCCGCCTCGAGTTCTTTCACTACCTTCCTATTTCTTCCCATACTTCTCTGGCGTACTCTGGCGGCGGTACGATTACGCTCTTCAAAACCGTCAATTTG